GCCACCGCACGCTGCGCCTCCCGAACCCCAGCCCCGCAGGCGCCTGGCCTGGCCCAGGCCTGGCCCTGCTCAGGCCCGCGTCAGCCCCGGCCTCCATCTTAGGTTACAGCCCGGGCTCCCCATCCACTGGGCACCTGCCCTCGGCCCGCTGCTTTCGACCCCAGGCCGAGGCAAACCCCCCGCTCGCCGTAGGGCTCACCTGGGGGGCCTGCGACGGGGTCTTCGAGGCCTCGGGCCCCGAGCAGACGTGGCCGCAGGTGAACCCCCTTGCCCAGCCGCACCCCAAACCCACACCACCACCACCACCACCACGACAGACCCAGCTGAGCAGGAAACAAAATGGAGGCAGCAGCTCGGGTCTGCCTCCCCGAGCCAAGCCTGCACGGCCCTGGGGCTCCCGTCTGCCGCAGGCTCGACGCCCGCGAGGCAGGGGGCTGGCTCCTCCCGGGAGCCTCGGGCAGCCGCCCTGGAGCAGCGCAGGCGGGCCCGGGACTCGGCCCTGCGGTCCCCACGGCCCCTCACCCACCACCCCTGCCCTTCCCCCTTCCCTCACTCCTCTCCCTCCCCGAGCCGGGCCGTGCGGGGTGAGCGGCTCCGGGTAGCTGGGTCGGGTTACCCGCCCGGGCCCTGGCCGTAGCACCGTGGCCTAAGCCCAGGGACGAGGCCGTGAGCCCCCCCAGCCCTGAGCCCGCGCCCCGCACCCCGGCCGGGATGCAGCCTCAGAGCGCGCCCGCACCTCGGCCTGCCGCTCTGCAGCCCCCGCCCAGGGAGGCCGAGTCCCTGGTCCAGACACCGCGGGGACGAAGCTCCTTGGTCCCCCTCGGGCCCAGGGGTCTTCGCTGCCCCGGGCGGGGCGAGGGCAGCCCTGGGGGAGGGGTCCACTAAGCCCTGCACCGCCTCCCGCGCCTCGTCTGGGTCTGGGCCTGGCACGGCGGCCCGGGCTGCGGGCGCTGGCGGGCTTGGGGAGGTGCGGGCGCGCGGGGCTAGGGGCCGGGAGGGGCAGCGCCTCGCACGGCGGCCGCTGCAGTTCCCCGCACCCAGGCAGATGGCCCTCTCGAGCGCGCCTCACCCCTGAGGCCCAGGCATCGGCACCCCTGCGGGACAGCACGGGGCGGGCGGGCGGGCGGGCGGGCGGGCTCGCAGGGCCGGCCAGGCCCGAAAGCCACGAGCCCCCGGCCTAGGGACACTCTGCACCAGGCTGCCGGGAACCTCCCAGCGTGCACTCGGCACCGGGGCCCCGCAGCACCGATCTAGTAGGGCTGTGGCGCGTCCATTCCTCAAAGACAGTGGAAGGACAGGTCAGGGAACCCAAGCCAGGCCTGATCCCGCAACTCCAGTCCCCTGAGGCTCTTCTCCCTTCCCGGCCCGGCTGCTTCCTGGGCTTGCTTCACAGCGAGAAGCTCACCTCAGGCATTACTTGGTCCCTAGAGCGTTAAGCGCATCCTTGTTGTTGAGAGAAAGCCATATTGGACCGCCAAAGAATTTCCGCCTCTTCCAGAAAGCCTTCTGTGATTTGGAGTTCATTTTAAAGCTGAGGGCGCCGCCCTCGATGGCCACGTGACCACCATTCCTCCAGAGGCTTAGTAAATGTGCCTAGGTATTGCCCCAGTAGAGTGTTTACTGGGGGCCCCCTGGTAACTAGACCCCACCGGGGAGAACGGCCACTTTTGGCATTCTCCTGCCTTGTATCTCCACCGGTGGGGTATCAGGAATGGGTGAGCCAAACTCCATCCTTCCCTGGCCTTCACCTGGTGACTGGGTCCAGCAAGCAGCAGCTCAGGATGCTTCTAGCTGTTTGCTGTCCAAGACCCACAATCCATTAAAAAGGGCTCAAAAATAAGCTTTTAGTATAGCTTTAGCAAGTGCTGGAACTCTGGCCCTGCCAAGAGAGCAAGTGAATTTCCTTAAAGAAAGCGCGCCGTGGAACCAAGAGCAATGAGGGTATTGTGACCTCAGAGATTCCTTCGGTTGAAGACCGAGATACTCAAGTTTCCAGATGCAAAGGTGACTGGCAGTTTTCCCTGTGCTAGAACTAGCCTGAGAGAAGCTGGGGCATAATTCGGGGCTCTATCCCACGGGGACCACCTTTTGTTCTACTGAGGAGTCGCTCTTGCTGGCTCCATCAGGCAATTCAATAGGAAAGCTCTAACTGGTTCCTTTTTCACAACTAATAGTTTGAGTTGGTCATTTCTAACTGGCAATTACCCCCAATGCTAATGACTCCAAAGTTCTTCCCAGTGCATAGCCATTTTGATGTACTTGGAACAGCCACTGGGTGGGTTTGAAGAAGTCATTTTTCAGCCCCCAGCCTCAGTGTACTCACCTGTGTCCTCCAAGTCACAGGCAACTGGGACACCCCATTACAGGTTAACAATCCACCCTTAGCAATTACAGACAGTGCCTGGTGAATGCTGAAATGTAATTCATTGTTTCCTTGGGCAACCATTTCCTGCATTCTAGGCAATGGACTAGGCTCTGGGGAAGCAAAATATGAGATGTTATACGAGCAATTCTGTTGGCCTCGGGGAGGGAAATGGTTAAATAAAAATACTGAGGTGTGGAGGGAGATTAGCTGATCTCTGCACAGTACTGCCCTGCAGGAACCCCTCTTCCTGCCTTCCGACCATCCTCTACATTCAGGGTGACCTAATTACTGACATGGGTAAGACTGGAACCTCAGGGAAAATCAGACTTCCCTGGGTAACACCTAAGGGCCCTCCCTGCCTCGTACAATCAGATTGTCTACCAGTGACCCAACCAGCATGCTTACTGGAGCTAAGTTGAGTATCTTCTCGGGCTTATATTCTCACAAGGATACTGAGTCCTTAAGTGAGGCAGGACGGGTTCTGGAATGTACACCTAGCTCTTCTCTGGCTGGTCACAACCCAAGAACCTATCTGGGCCTGTATGTCTCATCTAGAAACAGATGAGAATCAATGCTTGCTGGATGTGTGTTGTGCATTAGACCCCACCGAGCACTTGGCACACACCTGTTCCTCTAACTCTTTGCTAGTCTGTGAAGAATTAAGGACTCGGAGGTCACGCCCTTTGTGCAAGATCTCAGAACCATTGCTTTCAGCAGTGGGGTGAGCCCCCATCCTTGGTCTAGCCTGCACACCTAACAGATGCCGTGAGAAGCCAGGCATGTTGGGCACACAGATGTGCAGGGATTTGAATGTTAGGCAGTGAGCTTACCTTAGCCTCCATTTCCTCCTCTGTAATCCGTGGTTATTTTATCATGACTCCTACCCTGATGAGAGGTACCTGCTGGGATTTTTGGCCATGCAGCCATCTCTTTTAGAACTGTTCCTTTTGATTCGTTAATTCAGCAAATACTTGTTGAGGATGATCAGAGCCTTGTGGAGAAACAAACCAGCAATGCTAGAAGAGCACCCAGCGGAAGATCTAGAAAGGACTTCGAGGGGGGATTCTGAAGGATGAAAGGAATAGTCAGGGAGGGAGGGCACAATAAAGATTCCAGCAGAAGAACCCAGAGAAACACCATTTGGAGGGAGCTGACCATGACCATGATCTAGAGCATGGGCCAGGAAGCTATGTAAGAGGAGGCTGAAAGGAAGTTAGGAAAGACCACAGGCCTGATCGTGAAGGCCTTGGAAGGAGCTGGGGTGCCACAGAAGGATGACAGCGTGAGTTTTGCCTGTAGACTAAAAACAGTCCGCTATTATCTAAATGCACTAGAAACACACCAGAAAGGATCCTGCCTCTGGTGTGTGCTATGATTGTCATATTCCACAAACAGCAGTAGCTTATGCTTATCCAAGACACTCTTTTAATCCACTGGGATGGGCACTCTTATTATTTCCACCTTGCAGGCATGAAGCATGTATGCACACAGCCAAACTTCCATCCTCCACCCAGTTCATACACTTTGTTCTCAATCAGGGCTTGGCAGAGACATGGAGGCCTCTGATAATTCATCCCAAATGCACATAGTGGACACTGTGATCATCCCTCCTGGTGAATCCATGAGTGGCTTCCTTCATGTCTCCACCCAGGAGGTTCTCCAGAGCTAAATTACACTCCACTTGAGATCAAGGTCGGGCTGGCCACATCAGAGGTCAGACAGCTCTGTCAAAGCAAAGTTGTCTTCCTGTCCCAAACACCAGGTGTCTGTCACTAAACGGTCCCATAGCTATAGCTTGAACTCCAAGGACTTCAGCTGCCACTCTCAAGTTTTCTTCCCCTCAAATATCACTCTGGAAAATCCTGTGTACGGTGGCTACATCATCATCACTTACCCAAGTGGCCTGGTGCCAAGACAGGCCACATTCCCTCATGTGAATGCTTGTGCTGGTCCCTCTGCCTGGCAAACAAATGTTCATATCGGTGCAGAAGATGCCTCCTCAAGTCTGGCAGAGGCAGGTGGATCTCTGTGAGTTCCAGGACAGCCTGGTCTACAGAGTGAGTTCCAGGACAGCCAGGGCTGCAGAGAGAAACCTTGTTTTGAAAAAAAGAGAGAGAGAGAAGGAGAAGAATCAGCCTTCTCTTAAAGGTGTTGCCCATCACCTAAAAACATGGTCCTTTGCGGCACTATTGCTTCTCAATCTGGTCAGCCAGTGGAGAGCCCCTACAACAAGACATAGGGCACACAGTTCCCTGGCCTCTAAGACTAAGCTTAAGGCACTGAGGCTCAAAGAATGTCACCAGAAAACAATCCTAACTCCGCTCTGTCCCTCCCTCACCCCCAGCCTGCATCTGACCTGTTTTGAAGGTTTTCTAGGGTCAACCCTCGTTGTATATAAACAAAGAAAGGACAACAGAAGAGAAGTTGACGGTAACGAAAGTAGGCCGTGCTTGGTGGCACATGCCTGCAACATTAGCACTTGGTGTCAGAAACAGGACGATGGAGTTCAAGGCCATCCTGCAATATATAGCAAGTTCAAAGACAACTTTGTCAGAATGAGACACTGAGTCAAAGACAAACAAAGCAAAACAAACACCCACCAAACGTATGTGAAGACAGACTACGGGAAGTGGACCGGCCTGGGCCTGGGCCCTTAGCAGAGCAGCTGTGGCTTTCCACTAAGTACGTTCCCCCACCCATCCAGCTCCTTCCATGGACATCTGATTTTGTTGGGCGCCATCTCTACCCTGATTCCATTGGGAAAGTGCCAGGCTTGAGCAGCCTGGGGGACTGGCATCAGCAAACTCCTGCCGCCAAGAGCCAGGAAATGGTGTGCCTTCAGTCTAAGAGTTGACTTTTACAGCTCACCCAGCCATCACCTCCCTTCAACAGGAGGAGATCGCATTTGCCGGACAGAGCAGCTGGAGGTACGGCCTGCCTGTGACTGTGTAAGTGATGGGATGGCGCTGTTTCCACTAAGAAGGCCAGGAAAGATGAAGGTGATGAGAGTCTGGATGAAGGCTTGGTGAACCAACAGGAACCTGCTTCAGGTAGGTTGGAGAGGAAATGGAAACAGAGGTGAAAAAACAAGGAGGACGAGAAATGGCAGAACACGCCTGTAATCATAGCGAGTGAGAGGTACAGGCAGGAGAATCAGAAGTTCAAAGCCAGCCTGAGCTAAATAATCAGTTTGAGGCCAGCCTGGACTATTTGAGACCTTGTCTGAAAAAACAAGTCTAGAGGTGAGAATAGTAGATGATCTTCCTTTCTGTGGTGGTGATAGTGGTACTGAGACTAGATCTAGACCAGTGGATCTCAACCTTCCTAATGCTGTGGCCCTTTAATACATGTCATCATGTTGTAGTGACATCAACCGTAAAGTTATTTTTGTTGCTACTCCATAACTGTAATTGTGCTACTGTTATGAATTGTAATGTAAATATCTGTGTTTTCCTATGGTTTTGGGGGACCACTGTAAAAGGGCCGTTTGACCCAAGGGGGTCAAGACCCATTGGTTGAGAACCACTTCGCTCCTGCTTAGCAAAGCTCCTGTTCAGCAGCTACGCTGTACCTCATTGACCCAGGACCCCTTTAAAGATCCGGAGTGGGGCTGGAGAGGTGGCTCAGAGGTTAAGAACACTGGCTGTTCTTCCAGAGGTCCTGTGTTCAATTCCCAGCACCCACATGGTGGCTCACAACCATCTGTAATGAGATCTGGCTTCCTCTTCTGGCTTACAGGGATACATGCAAACACAACACTGTATACATGATAAATAAATAAATCTTAAAAAATAAATAAAATAAAGATCTGGAGTGGCTGGATGAGGTAGGTCAGTGATAGGGCACTTGTCAGTATACCAGGCCCTGAGTTCCATATAACTCACAGATTTGAAATGGCATTTATTTTCTTATTTTACTTATTTATTAATCTATTTATTTTTGATACAAGGTCTCACACTGAAGCCCAAGCTGATTTCAAATTCTCAGTCATCCTGCTACAGCCTCCAGGATGCTGGGCCAGGCATCTCTATCAAATTGACACCAAAGTCTCCAGATGGCAAAACTAGGCTCCATCATCAACTCCCTCACCCCATTCATACTGACTTTCAGCCGGAAAAGAGTGGACTCTGTTTCTCAATTAAAACCAGTGTACTGGCTTTGGAGTGTTACTCAGTGGTGGGGAGACTGCCTAGCACGCATGAGGCCCTGAGTTCCATCTTCAACAGGGGATTTTGGAAGACAAAGTTCTGGAAATTTGTTCTACTAGTATCAGCCATGCTCAGAAGAATCTTTACACACCCTGGGTGAACCCAGGATTAGGCAGAGCAAGGAGAGCATCCTGGCAGAGGTGGGCTTTTCGAAGAGACTAGAGAAGGCTGGGGATTTATCCCAGGGGTAGAGTTCTGCCTAGTCTGTGAGGCCCAAAGTCCAACCCAACAAAGAAAAGGAAGGTTCTTTTATTTTCTTCTATCATCAGCTTGATACAGTATACATTCTTATCCTAATAGTGAAATGTTTCACTAATGCTTGCCCAGTGATTGAGCAAAACCAAAACTTATTATAAGCCACAGTCATCCTCGGGTCCCCCCTGCTAGGTAGCCTCCCTGGTTCTGTGGGTTGCAGTCTGATTGTCCTTTGCTTTATATCTAGTATCCACTTATAAGTGAGTATATACCATGTTTGTCCTTCTGGGTTTGGGTTACCTCACTCAGGATGATATTTTCTAGTTCTATCCATTTGCCTGCAAATTTCATGCTGTCATTGTTTTTCTCTGCTGAGTAGTACTCCATTGTGTATATGTACCACATTTTCTTAAATCCATTCTTCAGTTGACGGGCATCTAGGTTGTTTCCAGGTTCTGGCTATTACAAATAATGCTGCTATGAACATAGTTAAGCATGTGTCCTTGTGGTATGATTGAGCATTCCTTGGGTGTATGCTCAAGAGTGGTATGGCTGGTATGTGGTATGTCCTTAAAAGGACAAAAGAAACTCAGTTCCCCAACCCACCCCCACCGGCTTCCCTGCGCTCTGTAGTTGTTTTTGTTTTGAGATGGGTCTCAGATAGCCCAGACGAGCTTCAAACCTTGCTATGTAGCTGAGGATAACCTTGAACTGCTGGTCTTTCTGCTTCCCCATCCTGAGTGCTGAGATTAGAAGGGTGAGTCAACATGCGTGTATATCTTTTTATTGAGATATAAGTAATATATTGTAAATTCACCTCTCTAAATACATATACAACCCAATGGCTCAGAGGATAAGGACATTTGCTACCAAGACTTACAACCTGAGTTTGACCCCTGGGACCCACAAGGTTGAAGGAGAGAGCCAACTCTTAGAAGTTGTCCTCCGGCCTCCACGTGTACAGTGTGACACACATATACAGGCAGGCACACATACACATAAAATTAAATATGTAATAAAAATTTTAAGCCAATGGTTTTCAGCATATTCACAACACTCTTAAAAACAAGTCCATCTTTGGCTGGAGAGATGGCTCAACGTTTAAGAGCACTGGCTGCTCTTCAAGAGGACCTGGTTTCAATTCCCAGCACTCACATGGAAACTCACAACTGTCTAACTCCAGTTCTAGGGGATCTAGCACCCTCACACAGACTTACATGCAGGCAAACATCAATGCACATAAAATATAAATAAATAAATCATTTTAAAAAATAGGCAGGAGGTGGTGGTGCATGCCTTTAATTCTAGCACTCAGGAGGCAGAAACAGGCCGATCTCTGAGTTTGAGGCCAGCCTGGTCTACAGAGCGAGCTCCAGGACAACCAGGACTACACAGAGAAGCCCTGTCTCAAAAAACTGAAAGTAAATATATTAATTAAAATGAGATGAGGCCAGGTGTGGTAGTGCATATCTTTAACCTCAGCACCGAGGAGGCAAGCCTGGTGTTCTGGGCTAGCCAGGACTCCACAGTAAAACTCTATCTCAAAAATAATAAGCAAATAAAATAAAATGAAATGAAATGAAAATGGGTTAGCAGGTAAAGTGTTTGCTATGAAAGCCTGATGACCTGACCTCAGCTCTGCAGCTGTTCCAGAATTTACTAGACTCATTCCTGCTTTTTCTCAGCCTTTCCCCAAGTCTTTGGCCAGTCTATTTGATTTATTGTTTAGTTTTCCTTTTTTATATGGGATCTAGCCAGTGAGTAAGGGGTCTTTCTGCTCAGTAGATCAGGCTGGCTTTGAACTCACAGAGATTGGCCCACCTCTGTCTCCCAAATGCCAGAATTAAGTGTGTGCCACCACAATTGGCAATATATATTTATTTTTAATTAAAGAAGTTGAAGAGTAATTGAAGATGCCTGACGTCAGCCTTTGACCTCCACATGGCACACACATATTCTCACATACACACATACAAATATGTACATATACATACAAACACACCACATACAGAGAGAGACATACACACACACTATACACACACATTCACACTACACTCACACACACATATACATACACCAGAAACATACACACATACATACATACATACACACATACACAAACATACACACATACAAATATACACACAGACATACATATATACCACACACAGAGACATGCACACACACACATACATACATACACACATACACAAACACACACATACAAATATACACACATACATATACACCACACACAGAGACATACACACACACAGAGACATACACACATAGAAACACACATATATATACACACACACACACACACCATACACACACACAGAAATGGAGATTTATAAGCCAGGAAGACAACTCAGTCAGTAAATTGCTTCCCTTGCAAGCACAAGAATGTTAAGTTTAATTTCCGGGAGCCATGTTTAAAAAAAAAAAAAAAGCTTGGGAAGGCAGAGCCCAGAAGGGCCTTGGGACTCACTGGCCCCAGTTACAGCCTACTTGGCAAGTTCCAGGCCAGTGAGAGACCCTAAAGGAAGAAGAGAGAGAGAAAGAGAGAGAGAGGTGGGCAGTGTCTAACTAAGGAAAGACATCCAATATTGTCTTTGAACCACACACGCACTCACACACAATGAAGAGACACAAAACAAGGAGGAGGCTGAGGGTTCTACCAGGCCCTCAGGAGGCTGGGCAGAAGATTGCCGTGAAAGTTGGAGGCCAGCCTAGGCCATGTAATGAGATCCTATCTAAAGAAAGAAAGCTAAGTTGAGCATGTTGGTACACGCCTTTAATTCCAGCACTCGAGGGGCAGAGGTAGGAGAATCTCTGTGAGTTTGAGACCAACCTAGCCTATGTACAACCTCCAGAATAGCCAGGACTACATAGAGACCCTGTCTCAAAACCAACAACAACAACAAAAACAAACAACAAAAAACCCCAACCAAACCAAAAAAAAAAATTACAAAAAAAAATATAAGTATAAGGCTTTGTGTGTGTATGTGTGGCTTTGGTTTTGAGGGTTTTTCTTTGTTTTGTTTTTTGTTTCTGGTTTTTCCAGACAGGATTTCTCTGTGTAACATCTCTGGCAGACCTGGAACTCACTCTGTAGATCAGGCTGTTCTTGAACTCACAGAGCTCTGCCTGTCTCTGCCTCCCGAGTGCTGGGTGGCTCCCTGCACCATTGCCCGGCGGCAGTGTAAGGTTTTTATACCTAACTTCTTTAACTCAGCCTTTCTCTTTCTCCTTCTTTCTTTGTCTTCTTCCTCCCTGCTCCCTCCAGACAAAATCCACCAGCTTCCAACTAATCATTATGCAGCAGAGTTCGTCCTGCCTCAGCCTCCCAGGTGCTGAGGCTGCAAACAGGAGTCATTAAGCCTGGTGAGACTTAATGTGTTTTCAAGTCCATCTCTGCACTGTGTGTTCATTCCCCCTTTCCTTTTATGACTAATATTCCATTGCAAACTACACCACATTTTGTTTTCCATTGATGAACAATGGCTTTCCCTTTAGGACTATATAAAATGTTGCCATGAACATTCATGTACATACTTTTTGCTTTTGGGTTTTTTGTTTTTATTTGTTTTGTTTTGTTTTGTTTTTTCAAGATAGGGTTTCTCTGTGTAGCCTTGGCTATCCTGGATCTTGCTCTGTAGACTAGACTGGAACCGAACTCAGAGATCTGCCTGCCCAAGTGTGGTGTTAAAGGCGTGCGCCACTACCGCCTGACTTGCTTTTTTTTTTTTTTAAACTTGGCACACAAAAAAAGTTTAAGTATCACAAAGTGTAGCAGTTGGCTAAATATATTATAAACAAAATCAGCCATAATACAGCATAACCTTTATTTTAATATGTGTGTCTCAGTGGAGGGTTGTGCACTTGAGTGCAGTGCCCCTGGAGACCAACAAAAGGTATCAGATCTCCCTGGAACTAGAATTACATGCCGTTGTGAGCTGCCTGTGTCCAGGATTGGGAATCAGACCTGGTTCTCCTGTAAACACAGTCCACACTCTTAAACCACTGAAGCGCATCTCTGCTCCTCCCCGTGGATGGTTCTTACAGGGATATATATACATACCTTCAGTTCTCTTGAGTGTGTACCCAAGAGTAGAACTGCTGGGCTGTGTGAAAACTCTCTACTTAGCAGTCACCAGAGATGCATGCCACTTCTCGTTCCCAAGAGCTGTGCATGAGGATTCTGAGTTCAACAGCCTTTTTCCCTATAAAGTGGCAACTCATTATGGTTTAAATTTGCATTTGTTTAGTGACTAATGGTGTTGAGCATCTTTTCAATGTTTGTTGGCTTTTTTGTTTTTCAGATCCAGTCTCATGTAGTCCAGGCTGGCCTCCTTGAACTCCTGATTCTCCTGCTGTTGCTGCCTACAAATGCTGTGATTACAGGACTTACTATTGCAAGTATTGTACCGCCACACTTGATTTCTTACTGGCTTTTTACATTTTATATTTCTCCTTTGAAGAAATCTCTGGGCCGGGTAGAGGTGGTGGCGGCGGCGGCGGCGGCGGCGGCGGCGGCGGCGGCAGCAGCAGCAGCAGCAGCAGCGCACGCGTTTAATCCCAGTACTCAGGAGGCAGAGACAGGCGGATTTCTGTGGGTTCGAGGCCAGCCTGGGCTACCAAGTGAGTCCCAGGAAAGGCGCAAAGCTACACAGAGAAACCCTGTCTCAAAAAACAAACAAACAAACAAAAAAAAAACAGAAAAGAAAAATAAAGAAAAGGAAATGTATCTTATTGTTGAATTGTGAAAGTTGTTCACATATTCAGATATCTAGGCTCCTGCCTCAGTCTCCCGAGTGCTGAGAATATACATATGCTACTGTACCCATAGGGGCTCACTTTGTAGCCCAGGCTAGCCTTGAACTCAGGTCAATTTTCCTGCCTCTGTCCCCCAAGAGGTGGGATTATAAACATATGCACCATGCCATCCAACTACACACATCCTCTTATTTATTTCCATACTGAGTCTCATTAGACATTAGACCAGGCTAGCCTCTAATTCCCTGGCCTTGAACTCATGACCCTTCTGTCTCTACTTCATGACTGCTAGAATTACAAGCGTACTAGAATTT